CAACTTTGAAAGAATAAAACACAAACTGGGTTTTAATGATATATATTTCCACCTTTGTTAAAAATAACAAACATTTAACCTTCAGAAACAAACATTTCTGACACATTTAAAACACTTGAAAGTGCTTCCTCAACGTTACTCTGGCTTTATAAGCAGGTATTCTGTATATGATTTATTATAATTAGTGGCTGCTGCTTTATTTACTGTTATAATGCTGCTATGGGTAAATGTTCCATAGTGATGTCACCATGTTCTGGATTTGGGATTGTTGCCTCTGCAGACCGTTTACACACACTACAGGAAGCACAAGGGGGCCTCTTTAAAGGGTATTAGGGTACATAGAGAGTGAGTTTCAGAACAAATGTTAGATATTTCTGGGATCGCAGAGCTCTGTGTGCAGAACGCAGATTTCCAATAAGTCAGAGATCAATACTGCAGAAAGACTGAAGTCCAGACGGAAGTCCAGACGGAGACGAGGCGTTTCTGCCTCTTCCCGAACGGAGGAGACTTTACCGGAGCATGATTTCATTTTCCAGCTTTTAATACAGACTCTGATGTACAGTAAGATAGATAGATAGATAGATAGATAGAGAGAGAGAGAGAGAGATAGATAGATAGATAGATAGATAGATAGATAGATAGATAGATAGATAGATAGATAGATAGATAGATAGATAGATAGATAGATAGATAGATAGATAGATAGATAGATAGATAGATAGATAGATAGATAGATAGATAGATAGATAGATAGATAGAGAGATAGATAGATAGATAGATAGATAGATAGATAGATAGATAGATAGATAGATAGATAGATAGATAGATAGATAGATAGATAGATAGATAGATGGATAGATTGCAGTGTGGGGAAAGTTAGTGTCCTACTTAAGGGGAACACTTAAGGGGTTTTGTGCCAGCGGACCATTATATTTAGCAGGACGTGTAGAGAGACATTTACAGAGTGTTTACAGAGTTTCAGATGAAAGGAAACGAGCCGAGGTCCTCTGTCTCCGCCTGTTTCATTTCTCTCTTTTGTTGTCTCCGCCGTAAACAAACAGTCTTTGGGCTCTTTGGGGTCTTTGGGGTGTTTTGAGACAAAGAGGAAGAGCAGATGTCGGGGTTTTGTTTCCTCCCCCCGCTTTTCTACATGAATGTTTAACTGCTGCTTTAAATCTCTCGGTGCTCCTGCAGGTGAATGACATATCGGTGTCAAATAGCGTTTGTTTCCCCCCTCTGGACGTGCCAGACGGGTGGGGTTAGCCTCTCAGGATGGCACAATGAGAGTGGAATAAGTTTGGGGTAATCACAGGAGGTCAGAGGCTTTCTCTTTGATCAGGTGTGATAAACTCCACCCGCCTGGCGCTGCAAGTAGGTCAAATCAAACGAGACAATTACTTCATCTGCTCCTGGAAACACTTCAAACTTTTTAAAACGAGTCGAGGGGAAACTGGAGGAGTCGTTTGGGACGAGAGGAGATTGTTTTAGGGGTTGTTTCACTCTGATGTAAGCCCCACCCGCCTGGTGTAAGCAGCTGGTCGAAACAAGGAACACCATCTCTCCTGGAAACACCTGAACTTTTGTAACTTTAGAGAGATTGCAAAGTGAGTTGGTTTGAGTTGTAAATAACAGAAGACACAACAGAGGTTTGATGTCTGGAGGCGGATTGTTTTAGGGTTTGTTTTACTATGCTGTACGTCCCACACGGGTGGGGTTTACCTCCCAGGACTGAAACTATGAGTGTCGGGAAGACAAAAGTTAATGAGGGTGGATTTAATAGACTTTGCTTTGAATGAGAGTTTTACTTTATACTTGCTGATGCCCTTAGATGTAAGCCCCACCCGCCTGGTGTTACCAGATGGGTTAAAACAAGCACACAAGGAGCACCATCTCTCCTGGAAACACCTGAACTCTTTTAACTTTAGAGAGAATGCAAAGTGAGTTAGTTTGAGGTGTAAATAACAGAAGACACAACAGAGATTTGATCTCTGGTGGCAGACTGTTTTAGTGTTTGTTTCACTATGCTGTACGTCCCACACGGGTGGGGTTTACCTCCCAGGACTGAAACTATTAGTGTCAGGAAGACAGAAGTTAATGAAGGTGGATCTAAAGGACTTTCATGTGACAGAGTTTTATCTGATACTTTCTGATGGCCTAAAATTGTAAACCCCACCCGCCTGGTGGTCCAAGTTCATTAAAACAAGCACACAAGGAGCACCATCTCTCCTGGAAACAAATGAAACTCTTTGAAGTTTAGAGAGACTGAAGAGTGAGTTTGTTTTGGGGGTGAAAGACGGAGAAGTCAACAGAGTTTTGAAGTCTGATGGTGGATTGTTTGATGGTTTGTTTTACTCTGCTGTACGTCCCACACGGGTGGTGTTACCAGTTACTATGACATACCAGTTTTGATGTTTTAGCGTGTGGAAATGTGGGGGTTTAAGCATCAACAGAGTGAGAGCGAAAGTAAAGTACAGATTCAAGATTAATCAAATGAAAGATAGCATTGAGATGATATTCAGGTAAGTGTCTGTTCAAACAAGAAGTGAATGGATATACATAACCGAGTCCGGATTGTTACAAATAGTTTTTGTTTTACACTTTGTTTTAAGTTGAAGTCAGTTTCTTTTACTAAGATGATATTGGATGTCCTGACCCTGGTAAGCTCCACCCGTCTGGTGGTCAAAGTAGATCAAAACAAGCGAACCAGTTACACTATACGACTGGAAAAGGATATCAACTTAAAAACAAAATGTAGAAGAAGTGGATTTGGAGACGAGAGAGAGTTTGATGTGGTGATTTGTTTTACTCTTTAGCACGTCCCTGACGGTCAGATTATTATCTAAAATGACTTTTAAGGGTTTGTTTTACCTCTCTGGATGTGCCAGGCGGGTGGAGTTTACCAACCATGATGACTCAATAAGTGTTTATAGTTTTAAAACACTAATAATAAGTATCAGAGAGTTTAAGTTTCACTTTCCGCCCTCTGACATCTCACCTGAGACTATCCAAACGCTTATTTTATGATAAACTCCACCCGTCTGGTGTTCCAAGTAGAGCGAATCGAACAATAGACTTCTGTTTGAGCCTCGGACTTTAAAAGCTCTGAGGGGAAACTCCAGGAGACGCAGGTTTTGGAAAGTTGGACGACATATTGATCTCTTCATGCTCAATTTGGCTTGAGCAAAAAATGGTTTGATTTACTCTCCTGTACGTGCCAGACGGGCGGAGCTTATCCCCACCGGACAGAACAATGAGTGTTAACGGGTTCAGATAAGGTACATTAATAAAATGCACTTTCCTGTGACCCACTTTCTGAGGTGGAAGAAGTGGAGTACAAATACTTTATTACTGTACTTAAGTACATCTTTCTGGTATCAGTACTTTACTCCACTACTTATTGACTTCTTACATTTTGAACACAAATACCTGTAATTTCTACTTCTTACATTTTGAACACAAATACCTGTACTTTCTACTTCTTACATGTTGAACACAAATACCTGTACTTTCTACTTCTTACATGTTGAACACAAATACCTGTACTTTCTACTTCTTACATGTTGAACACAAATACCTGTACTTTCTACTTCTTACATGTTGAACCCAAATACCTGTACTTTCTACTTCTTACATGTTGAACACAAATACCTGTACTTTCTACTTCTTACATTTTGAACCCAAATACCTGAACTTTCTACTTCTTACATGTTGAACCCAAATACCTGTACTTTCTACTTCTTACATTTTGAACCCAAATACCTGAACTTTCTACTTCTTACATGTTGAACACAAATACCTGTACTTTCTACTTCTCACATTTCCCAAACAGGCTGGTTCCTTTAGTTTGAATGTGTGTTTGGTGGCGTGATCATTATTATTTAGAGTCATTGCGTGCCTATTGATTTGAACACGATCCGTGTATCCATCATTTCCTGGTCTTCTCTAAAGAAGAGGGACCAATGAAAACGTTGTCATGTTGCCGTTGTTCAGCATGGAAACATTCATTAGCTAACAATGACATTATTGTTCGATTAAAAAAAAATTATGTATTGAAGTGAATGGGGAGAGAAAGATTATCTTTCGATCCCGTTTGAATTGTGCCATGAATTACACGTATGATGTTTGTCAATCTTAAAAAATAATTTCCATGTCAAAAAAGTCATAGTTTGTCGTAAAACTGTTGAAATATAAGACTATGAAAAATATGCAACTAGAAAGACTACAAATCCCAGAGTTGCGTAAGTGATGTCATTCACTACACTCGTGTTACTCACTGAAACCTTGTAAAGCCGGTCCCGCATGCTGGCTCTTACGGACCGACTAACTCCCCTTGTGTGTGTGTACAGCTCCCAGACTTGGAGTGATTTTCACCTCTTTTAATAATTTTCGCCTCATTCTGAAAGAAAGAGGTGAAATGTGCCAACGTGACGGCCGTCTTGGTGTTGGTGACGTGTGTGAGACCAGAGATGTAGTTCATTGAGCGGTTTCACACAAAAAAATGTGTTACTTCACAGTTTTACGACACATTTTAATTTTTTTGACTTGCAAAATTATCTTATATGTGTAATTCGTGGCACAACTCAAACGGGATCGGAAGATCATCTTTCTCTCACCATTGACTTCAATGCATGCTTTTTCCGAAATAAGGTCCCATGGAGGAAAGGGAGGGACTTCGCCTCGCTATACTTCTTTACTTTTACTTGAGTAAAGAAGTATAGTCAGTACTTCTACTTTCACCAGAATATCTTTAAACACGAGTATCTGTACTTCTACTTGAGTAAAGGATGTGTGTACTTCTACTTGAGTAAAGGATGTGTGTACTTCTACTTGAGTAAAGGATGTGTGTACTTCTACTTGAGTAAAGGATGTGTGTACTTCTACTTGAGTAAAGGATGTGTGTACTTCTACTTGAGTAAAGGATGTGTGTACTTCTACTTGAGTAAAGGATGTGTGTACTTCTACTTGAGTAAAGGATGTGTGTACTTCTTCTTGAGTAAAGG